ACTACAACATGCAGATGTACAACTCTCCAAACATTTTTTAGTCTTACAGACATTAGGTATTTATCAGTTAACGTTTGCCTACAGAACACAAGCTCTTCAGTTCCTCTATTTGCTGACCAAGAAACTGTAGAACCTCTCTTCAAAAAACCCATTGAAGAAGTAAAGTAGAATGTTTAAAATTTTATTAAGAAATAGGAAATATGTTTTTTTGGAAGTATAACTTTTAAGCCCTTTAATTCATATGAATGTGTTAGAGTGGCTATGTAGATATAGTTTTGTTACCATGAATGTTCTCGACACTTTGGCAAAGAAGAAGTAGGCCTTTGAGAACATCATATTTTCCTCATTTCTTTGAGACATGTACAAACTCAAGTAAATACATTCAAAGTCAGAAATAGACATTTAAAAACAAACTGGCCTAATATTTCCATATGGTTGCTTTTATTTTAAATGTAAATGTGACCTATGAGAGTGAGTCCTATAAATGCTTTTTTTCCCAGATCTTATTTTAAATGTAGAGCTTTTCTGTCATCCTTTGAGACTTTACATATCCCCATTACTTACATGAATTATTTCACAACAGTCCTAAATAGGAAATGATTAAGAGTCTATGGAAAAACCACAGCCATGAATCCATGGTATGTTCACTGAATCATCCAAATGGTAGGGTTTCTATTTTCTCAGATGCTGTTGTCTTCAATCAGATGCCTGCCATCACCCAGATTCCTTAATCGAGATATTTATTTCTTCATACCAGCTTTGACTGTCTAATATCCTTTCATTGCACCCTGCAGGACTCTTAAACATTCCTTGCCAGGCAGGTGTAGTGATAATCAACTTCCTCAGCTTTTGTTAATCCATGAATGTCTTAATTTCTCTCACACTCTTGAAGCACAGGCTCCGGACACGCAGGCTCAGCGGCCATGGCTCACGGGCCCAGCCGCTCCGCGGCATGTGGGATCTTCCTGGACCGCGGCACGAACCCGTGTCCCCTGCATAGGCAGGCAGACTCTCAACCACTGTGCCACCAGGGAAGCCTGGGATTCTTGTTTGACAGGTTTTTTCTCTTAGCACATTGAATATATTGGCCCATTGCTTTCTGGCCTCCAACGTTTCTGATAACAAATCTGCTGATATTTTATTGAGGATCCCTTGTATGTGACAAGTCACTTCTCTTTTGCTGCTTTTGAGATTCTCTATCTTTGACAGTAAATTAACTTCTAAATTGATTAAAAATAAGAAAAAATCATTTATATTTACTTTTTACAATTTCCCTCACTTCTTTTCTTTGTGTAGATCTAATTTCTATCTTGTATCCTGTTCCTTCTTTTAAAAAATCTTAGTTTTTCCTTTATGATCAGCTTTGTTTTTCTGGAAAAAATCTTTATTTTGCCTTAATTTTTTGAAAGATATTATTGCTGTATATGGAATTCTGGGTTGATAGTTTTTTCTATTAGCATTCTAAAGATGTCATTTCCATTGTCTTCAGGCTTTTATAGTTTCTGATGAGAAGTCTATTGAAACTCATATTTGTTCCTTGGTATAAAATTTTCCTTTTTCTCTGCTCTCGTGATTTTCTATTTATCTTTGATTTGAAGCAATGTGACTATGATGTATTTAGGTGTGCTTTTACATTTGTAACATAATTGTTTTTTATCCTGCTTGAGGTTCTCTGGGATTCTTGAATCTGTTTCATTAATTTTTCAAAAATCCTTGGCCATTTTTACTTCATCTATTTCTACCTCATTTCTCTTTCTTCTACTTCTCGGACTTCAATTACTTGCATGTCATATTGTTTGATATTGTCTCCTAGCTCTTGGAGGCTCTATTCTCCTTACTTCCCCACCCCTCATTTTTTTCTTTTCTCTTGGTGTTTCTGTTTGGAAAATTTCTATTGATGTATTGGCAAAGTTACCTATTCTTTATTCAATTCTAGTCTGCTAATGAGCCTGTCAAAGAACTGCTAATAAACGTAACCTCTGATATTGTGCTTTTGCTAGCATTTCCACTAATCTATTTTAAAAGCTTCCATCTCTGTGAAATTCCCCATTTGTTTTTGCACGTTGTTTACTTTTACATTTTGTCTTTTATTAATCACAGTTATTAAGGTATTTTTTTGTGAGTTCCAATATCTGAGTCATCTCTGAATCTCTGAATCTGAATCTTTTGTCATTTCGACAAAAGTTTTTTTTTTTCCCAGCTTTTTAGTGTGTCTCAATTTTTGACTAAACGTCATACATGTATAGAACAGAAAGGACTAAGGTAGATACTGCTTATGCCCAGATATGGGTACATCTCTCTTCATATCAGACAGTTAATGTGGGGTTGTTGTACAGTAAAGAATTTGTTCTTTGCCTCGAGTTCCTGCAATGGGGCTTCTAAACCCTTGGAATTTCCTGAGCTATAGGAGTGTCTTTAATCTTTGTGGTAGGCTCAAAGGGATTAGAGTTTTGAGGCTTCGAGCCACATGATATCAGCCTGACCTTCTGACCACTGGAGAGGTGTCAGGGGCTGGAGATTGCTTTCTGTCACATGGCCAGTGGTACAATTAATCATGCCTATGTAATGAAACTCCAGTAAAAACTCTGAACATTAAGGGTCATTTGAACTTCCTGGTTGGTGAGCACATCAGTGTGCCAAGATGGTGATGCATCCTGATTCCATGGGGAGAAGGCAGGGAAGCTCCATGTTTGGGATCCTCCAAGACCTTGCCCTAAGTTTTCTTTACTTGGCTAAACCTTATTTGTATCATTACAGCAAAACTAGTTATAAGTATAATGTTTCCTGAGTTCTCTGGTTTATCCTAGAGAATTATCAAACCTGATAGGTTTGCGGGAACCCCCAAATTTGTGGTAAGTTGGTCAGAAGTGTGGGCAGTCTGGGTATATCTAAATTTATGAGGGAATTTTGTTGGGGACTATGACCTCAACTTTGGAGTTTGCATTAACTCCAGTGGATAATATTATATCACACACAGCCAAAAAGTACATGAAAAGGTACTCCGCATCACTAATCATCAGGGAAATGCAAATCAAAACCACAATGAGATATCACCTCACACCTGTTAAGATGTTTTATTAAAAAAAAACAAGAGATAACAACTGTTGGCAAAAATTGGAGAAAAGGAAACCCTTGTACATTGTTGGTTGGAGTGTAAATTGGTACAGCCATGATGGAAGAGTATAGAGGTTCCTAAAAAAAAAAAAAAAAAAAAAGAAAACCAAAAATAGAACTACCATGTAATCCAGCAAGCCCCCTTCAGGGTATATACCTGCAGGAAATGAAATCAGTATCTCAGAGACATCATTGCAGCATTATTCACAATCTTCAACATATGAAAACAATCTAAGTGTTAATGGATGAATAGATACAGAAAATGTCAGAAAATATAAACATATAATACTATTTGGTCATGAGAAGAAAGGAAATCCTGCATTTGTGACAAGGATGAGCCTGGAGGATATTGTGCTAAGTGAAATAAGCCAGACAGAGAAAAACTATATGACATCACTTGTTATGTGGAATCTTCAAAAAAAAAGTCAAACTCAAACATAAGGTAGAATGGTAGTTCCCAGGGGCTAGGTAGGGGAAATGGGGAGATGCTGGTTAAAGGGTACAAACTTTGTTATAAGATGAATAAAGTCTTCAATATTTAATCATTAAAGTTCAGTAGCAATCATTAGCATTAGCAGACATCTGCTTTGTATTGGTGTAGGATTTCTGGGCCCAAAATCATTTCCTGCCTCCCTCCCAGGAGAGAGGGTTTTTATTTCTATCCTGCCCTCAGCAACACTGGATCTCTACTTGTATCTGGGGCTAGACTGTTCGCTACCCCACACGCCCCCCCCGCCCCCACACAGACAGCTAGGTTTTGTTTCTGTCCCTTCCTTAAGCGCAATGGAATTTTCTCTGAGCCTTGGAGGTAAGAGGGCTTGCTGCCCCTGCTCTAGCAGCTTAAGACTTTTAAGAGAAGGGTTTGGGAAAGCAGGTGAGTCTTTGGGCATGTCACCCAACAGCAGCCTATCACTTCATGTTTGCCTGTGCCACTAAAGGCATCTCTGCAGGTCTCCTGCCCTGCTCCCAAACTTTCTTGTTTGTGTTTGGTAAAGGTCTAACTTCTCCTTCGGAAGTCCCTAGATATTCTAAACTGACATGCTACCCACACTTGGCCTTTAAGAATGTTTTTTTTGTTTTGCTTTTAAAACATGTATTTATTTATTTGGTTGCACCAGGTCTTAGTTGCGGCAGGTGGGCTCCTTAGTTGTGGCTAGCCAGCTCCTTAGTTGCAGCACGTGGGCTCCTTAGTTGTGGCATGCAAGCTCTTAGTTGCGGCATGCACGTGGGATAAAGTTCCCTGACCAGGGATCGAACCCAGGCCCCCTGCACTGGAAGTGCAGCCTTATCCACTGCACCACCTAGGACTCCTAAGAATTTGTTAACATTTTAGTTGATTTCTTCCTATCCAGCCACCTTTGACTCTTGTGCTCTACTAAAGATGAAATGGGGGACTTCCCTGGTGGTGCAGTGGTTAACAATCCGCCTGCCAATGAAAGGGACATGGGTTCGAGCCCTGGTACTGGAAGATCCCACATACGGTGGAGCAACAAAGCCCGTGTGCCACAACTGCTGAGCCCGCATGCCACAACTACTGAAGCCTGCGTGCCTAGAGCCCATGCTCGGCAACAAGAGAAGCCACTGAAATAAGAAGCCCATGCACCACAACGAACAGTAGCCCCCGCTCGCCGCCAACTAGAGAAAGCCCACGTGGAGCAATGAAGACCCAATGCAGTCAAAAAAAAAAAAAAAAAAAAAAAGATGAAATGGTTTATTTCACAGATACTGAGTCCCATCAATTTACTTGGTTATCTTGAGGCCTCAACTATCTGATAGGCTCAAGAAAAATGATTTTTATAGATTACCTGGCATTTTTTTTGTTAAGATGGAAGAAACATTCTCATGGAGATTTTTACATTCTAAGTGAAATCAGAACTCTCATCTCCTTATTCTTACAAATGAATTTTATTCATTTTCAATTATGAATAACAATTACATTAGAATCTTGACTAGAATTTTACTAAACTAACTTTGGTGGGATGAACAACATTATAGTATTTGGTCTTCTTATCCAGAAATACTGGTTTTCCTACTCATTTATAGAAAAAGCACACTCCAGGTTCCTTATGATACAGAGTCAATGATTTAATTGATTTTAACTTAAATTCCATATTAGCACAAACATAGAGGTGGCTTCTGGTATTAAAACACAGTTAAAGATAAACAGGAAAATCAGAAATTATTAGATTGGAACCAAATAATCATGTAGGTATTGAGAATCGTAACAGAAAGTAAGCATTGTTTTAGCTCTGAGATTCCTAAGAGACAAATCAAAATGCAAATAGTGTGTTATATAGTTCTCTTAGTTTAATACAAAGAATGCAATTTTATCAGGAGAAATTTTTCTTGCACTGAATCCTAGGAGGACTTTTTAATGTAGTTCCTTTTAGAAATAACAAGATACAAATTGAGTTCAAACACTGTTTGGTCGAAAATAGTCAAATGTCTTTCAAATGACCACTTCTTTTCCTCACCATAATAAATGCCAAGAGCACATTTCCTATATTAATAGAAAAATCAATAAGTGTGAAAAGCTGAAGTAACCCTGACAAGTTTTTCAGAACAATTGTTGAAAATATTCAGAAAACACCTTTAGTTGGAAAACAGCAGAAACAAAAATAGAAATATCACATTTCATATATGCAATAGAATACAATGCTGAGTTTAGTTCCATAATAAAAGTCATACCAATTTTTATGTGTGGCCAAGGATGGAAGTATGGATAAAGAAAAAGAACTGAAATCAAGGTAGAAGATAACTCTGCTTACTGCCTTCAAGTCTTGTTTGGAGAGGAACCTCTGGAAAACCATGAGTTAGGATAACGCTAGTCTACTAGCATGTCAGAGGCAGAACCCATATAATCTCTAGAAATATAATTTGTCATTCCTCCAGGTAACTCCCTTAAGGGGGTTTGGTTCCACCAATGAATAAAGTTCCTAATTCTATACTAAGTTCATCCTTTGGGACATCAATCTCATCTCTTGCCTCTTCCCCAAGCTTCTTCCACCAGGGTGCTTGTATATGCTTCAGGGTGGTAAGATGGGCCTGCTTGGCCTTGGCTGCCACAGGCCTGGATCTGCTTAGGAAGAGCTCAGGTTCTTTTCCTTCTGCCTCCTTCAGACTTGGTGCTTCTGTAGTAAACAGAAAATAAAAAGGTGAGTGGAAGAGTTCTGTACCAAACAAACAGGAACTTGGAAACTACAGTGTTGGAACTCTGCAATAGCAGGCAAAAACAAGGTTCCAACTCTGAGTCTATTATTATTGTCAGCTGTAGATGGCATGTGACTATTCACAAGTTGTAGCCCATGCTTCCGTGTTTAAAGGGAAAGAATAAAAGAAAGAGGTAGATTTTTTTAGATGGTTTATTTAAAAGAGCAGAAACTTTTAATATAATAGCAGAATCCTTACAGATGAGAGGCTCAGTTCCAGCCACCTATCCATTCAAAAACACAAAATTTGCAAGTAATGGCACTAAAGAGAGGACCCTGGCCCTTTTTGCTCCACAAATACTAAAAGTGTTTCAGAGGCCATCTGAGACACTGGCTTCATGGATGGGATCTCTCATTAAATGCACCAGTGGTTGTGAGAAGCAGATGAATTAATTTTTGTGAAAACACTTCATTAAAGTGCCACCATAACCACTCTCATCATCTACTTTTAAAATATGTTCAAAAAGCTTTTCATACTGTATAACAGAATCTGGCTAGTAGGGCTCAGCATCTTTATAATTAATAACTTTTCTGAGTTGACACATATCAATGATCACAAGGCTGAGGGAAGCAGTCAAGAAGGTTATGGGGTCTGCATCATTTGAAATCATTGTGTGGTGATATGATCTAGAAGGAGAAATTTCTGAGGATAGGAGATGGGTTAATAGACCACTAAATGGTGTTTTCCTTCTGAAGATCTAGATGTCACAAAATCTTACATAGGCTGTTCCTTTTAGGAAGCAAAAATGGAATGAGCACATACTCATCAACTGTTCGATGTTGGTGTTGATCCGAGCCATCAGTGCCTCCCTGTGCTGTTGGGCTCTCTCTTCTAGAGCCCTGCCCATGAAGTAGTGTTGCAGTCGTTCTTGTGCTTGGGAATGGAGCTCCCTGCTGATCACATCTGATACCTCAGAGCCCTGGGAACAAAGGACAAAAAAAGTGTCACATGAAGGACACATATATCAAAGTATGTTTCACTTAACCACTTAGTAGAGGTTCTAGAATGCTTAGCTGTCTCTCATCAATTGAATGTTATGGTTGATATCTACCTTGTACTCTTGAGCAAGCATTAAATAGCCTCTTAAAAGCAGCTTTAAATGAAAATGCAGGTGGGCCAGATTCTTTTTGGTATGCTCCTATACCTCACTTCCTCACATAGTATGGTATTCTGGGAGAAGAGATAAGATTGAGAAATCATAGTGAAAATTACAAATGGTTTGGTAAAGATACTGGCCTGGAAGAGGAGTAACAAGACCAATCCTTTTGTTCTAGCCCCACCTGGTAAGACTACCTAACTTCTTGTCCTATCCCCACTCCCAAACTTATCTAAGCCATAATGTTATAACGGCTTCTAATTTCACAGAACAAGGGACAAAATCATTCAAAGGACCATATTCTTTTGGCTAGTCAGCTACTTTAAAAGGAACTTACCTAATTAGTTTGGACAAGGATGAAATAATCTCAACATTGAAGCTGACAGAGCTTCTGACACCCCAGCTTTCTCAAATATTCCAGTTCATGGATCTTGGATACAGCCCTGTTCCAGCTAACACCTTACTTTTCAGCCACAGAGTAACAGGTGTACTAGAGTATGGCTAGAGCAGCACTTCTTTTTTTAACAGGAGAATGCACCACAATCACACACAGTGCATTAAAAAAAATAGAGATCAAAGACCTAAACATAAGGACTAAAACTATAAAACCCTTAGAAGAAAAGACAGAGGAAAAGCTTCATGATATTAGATTTGGCAATGATTTCTTAAATATGACACTGAAGGCACAGACAACAAAAGGAAAACCAGACAAACTGTACTTCATCAAAATGAAAAAGTTTTGTGTATCAAAGGACACTATCAACAGTAAAAAGGCAGCCCACAGAATGGAAAAAAATGTTTGTAAATCATACATCTGATAAGGGATTAATATCCAGAATATACAGAGAACTCCTAAAACTCAACAACACAAAAACAAACGACCTGATTAAAAAATGAGCAAAGGACTTGAATTGAAATTTCTCCAAAAAAGATATACAAATAGCCAATAAACATATGAAAAGATGTTCAAAATCACTAATTATTAGAGAATGCAAATCCAAATCACAATACCACTTCACATTCATTAGGATGTGAAAATAATAAATGTTGGTGAGGATGTGAAGAAGTCTTGCTGACGCAGTACGGAAAACCACTAATTTGAAGTGAAGTCTCCCTTACTATTGACTTTACTTATATGGTCCACGTAATTATAAGACGCCAAATCCATTGACTACGGTAAAGCAACTGCATTACCTTATGCCAAAAGTAAATGTACATATACAGCTGAGACACTTATTTGTTGGTGAATATCACCCACTGCAATAATGTAACACTGGTACCATGGCACAAAAGCCTACATACGGGATGTCTTCTGATATAGTCATCCACTTGTTGCTTCAGTTCAACTCTGCGTGCATCAGTGAGTTCTCTGAGTCCTTGCCAAGGAGCAAATAGTTTCTTTTTCTTACGGCACTTTGCTAGGAATTTAAGAGTCTGGGACAAAAAAAAAAAAAAAAAGATTTGTGATTTTTTTTCTTCCCTAGCAGAACTATTTCCTTCCTACCAAAACATATGATAGTGACAACAGCTGTTAACCCTTTTATGTATGGGGAGAAAGATAGGATTGTGACTGGGGTGACAGAGGACAATAACTTTATCGTTATATTCTTCTGTAGTGTTTTAATATTTTACAAGGATATATTCATGTATTATTTGTACAGAAGGCAATAAAGAAAAAAAAAGGGAAATCAGCTTTGGGTTCTAGTCTTAATTCTAGCCCCTTATAAAACTGTTTGATTTGGGGCAACTCATTCAATCTCTATAGGATAGGTTCTATGTCTACAGAAAACAGGGATCCCAATTGTACTTAGCCAAAGGATTGTAAAGATCAAGGAGAAGGTATACAAGAAAAAGCTTGGTAAATGAATGTGCTTTCTCCTGTCCTTCAGAATGAATTCCTGGTAAGAAATCTTTTAACAGGCAAGATGTGGAGACACATCTGAAATTATTCTGCCCAATTTTTTTTTCACTCTTCTCCCTTCTTTGTAGTTTTTACTTTCATCGAAGTTATATGTTCACATTGCTTAAGGCAAGGGTTGGCAAATTATGGCCCACAGGTCAATCCAGTCTGATGCCTGTTTTTGAACAGCTGAAAAATGGTTTTTTACATTTTATATGATTACAAAGTTCAAAAGGAAAAGAATTAATTCATGACGTGAAAATTATGTGAAATTCAAAATTCAGTGTCTACAAATGTTTATTGAAACAAGAGTCATGCTCATTTGTTTACATACTATCCACAGCTTCCTTTGGGCTACAACTGTAGAGTCGAATAGTTCCAAGAAACTGTATGACCTGCAAAACCTAAAATATTTTACTATTTGATGCTTTCCAAAAAGTTTGTTGATATAACTATTGTTTAAAGTGTCAGTTTTAGAAGAATTGTTAAAAACCTCTCCCCCAAAGACAGCAACTTTAGTTCTTTCAGGTTTTTCTTCTGATGTTTATCTCCATCTACATTTTTGTGATTTTTTTCAGTGATAGGTATTATCTATTGACTTTCTTGTATGAAAGATAAGGACTTAGCTCTCTTTCACACATACTTTCTATATCTCCAAATATCCAATATTATTAAATCATAATTTTAGTTAATGTTCAGTGTTTACATTATTATGACTACATAAAGGCTATTCATTTTTCAACCATGTAGTGATGATTACTTTTTCTTCCTTGCATATTTTTATTTTCACTGGAATTAATAACTCTATTATTTTCCTGTGCTTATTTTTCTATATATTTATCACTGATTATCACAATTTCTGCCCTAACTGTTCATACATTAAAACACATCAGGCAATCTATCAAATTAATTTCCTTAGATACACATATTCTGGAGCTTTCTGACTTGTTCCAATCTGGATAGATTATTCCCTATGCTTGGTGCATAGCTGTCATCCCGAGATCTCCCATTCCCCATCATCTTGGTGACTCTTTTCATCTTTCCTTTGTGTTTCCTGGATTCCATGTTGTCCTTTCTTGGGTTATTCCTTTGTTTCAGAGACTTTGTGATGCATAAAAATGTCTTTAGTGTATCTTTACCTTTAACTGATGGTTTAGTTGGATGTAGAATTCTAGTTGGAAATCATTTTCCCTCAAACATTTGACAGCCTTACTCCAATATCTTTTAGCTTCCAATAATGCTGTTGAGGAGTACTTTTCGCCCCAGTGTATTTCACAATAATGTGAAATAGATGTGAGTGTATTTTTGTCATTGTATTGGACATTCAGTCTTTTTAATCTAAACCACATGATATTCAATTCTGAGAAATCTTAAATTATTTGATTTCTTCTCCTCCAGTTTTTTTTTTTTTTCTTTGTTTCAAATGTTTGACCTCCTAGACTGGTTCTGGTTTCTTTTTGCCCTGCTCTCTAGATTTCCCAAACCTTTTTTTCTAGCCCTTTTATTATGTCTTTCTTTTTTCTGTCAAATTTTATTCCATTTGTTCCCTGTTATCCAGCATCTTGGTTTTTGCTTCATGTATTATTTTCTTTTAGCTCTCGGAGAAAATAATACATTTTAAAAGTTTTCTTATCCCTGCAATATCTCTATTTCCACCAAGTAGTTTTATTCTATTTGTTTTGGCCTTAGCTTCCTGCAGACGTCCAGTGATACTTTCAGCTGATATTTAAGAGTGGGCACTAAAAAGCTGTTTAGAAATGCTGAGCAGATGGGTAGGGTTTATCTATTCTGTACTTCTTTATAGGGCTACTGAACTGGGCTGTTTCATTGGAGTACCTCATTGTGAGTACATGTATAACTATTCCCTTGGGCTGTTCAGATTTCCTAAAGAAAATGTTTTCAACCTACTGTTTACAGGATACAAGCCTGGCTGACAGCACTGAGATCTGAGAAGAAAAAAGGGCTTGGAGGTTTTCACATTCAGTATAAAGATTTCCTTAATACCCTTGCTTTTACTATAGTACTTGAGCCTTCAATTGCGCTTACATTCTCCTATTGAGATTTTCTCCTTTTCTTCTATTCTTCCCTTTTCTTGATTTTTCTTCCTTGCTTCTCCTTCTATCTTTCCTCTACTTCCTGCTTTTAGTATGAAGCCAGGCTTATGATGCTACTCTGGGAACTCAGAGTAAAGTTTCCAGAACAGAGGAATTTTTGCCCTTAGATCAGAAAAGTCCACCTTGACATCTCTGTCTCTTTTCCTCATTCTTTGTCATTTTAGGACTCTCTGAAATTGTATTTATCTCCCAATGTTTATTTTTTCAACTGGTTTGTTTCAGTAAGTGCTTTTGTTGTTGGTCTTTAATAGATATGTATATTTGATACTGTTTTGCTATAATCAAGTAGCAAGAATTAGCTATCATTCTGGCTCTAGAGAGCAGACGCCAGCAAACATCACCTTCTTTCTGAGCTGCTTCTTTTTTTTTTTTAAGAAGGAACAATTAGGTTTATTTGCTTGTGCCAGGAAATATCTCACATACATTGCTATAAAAACCATGTTTATCACTTTAGTGTGGAATTCTTTAGAAGCACTGGCAACTTTGGAAACTGGATGCACTGAACTGGTGGATGCCACAGATGGAAAATTCTAGAAGGCAGCCAGACCTGCCCTTGTGCTTGTCACTAGTTTCCAGTCTTTGATTTCCAGGTTTTGGCTCTTTCAAAGCCATTTTTCACATTTCTGAAATCAAGAATGGCCTGAGAAATCTCTTCATTTGTGTGCATCAAAAATGAACCTAGAGTAAAAAGAGACATTCAGAAAGTTCTGGGTGATGAGAATTTTCTTCTACCACTAAAATGGTGCATATTTCTGTAGTTCTTAATTTGAAACAAACTCAGGCATATCTGAATAGCAAACGGTTATTTTCCCAGCATCAGATCCTCGAGGATGGTAAAACAGGTTTTTAGGATTGTGTATGATTATAAAGACCAAACTTCAGATAAACATATGCAATTAGACCTCACTCATCCATTGCAGGCTGTCATCAGCAATGGCAATCTCTTTATTAAAAACATTCTTAGGTTTGGTTCTATTATGACCATTTTTGTAGTTTTAGTTCTTTTTACCTTCTTTATTTTTTTTAATTGAGGTATAATTGACATACAATATTATATTAGTTTCAGGTGTCCAACATAATGATTCGATATTTGTATATATTGGGAAATGATTGTCACAAAAAGTCTAGTTAACATCTGTCACCATACGTAGTTAGAGAATTTTTTTTTTCTTATGATGAGAACTTTAAGGATTTACTGGGGCTTCCCTGGTGGCGCAGTGGTTGAGAGTCTGCCTGCTGATGCAGGGGACACGGGTTCATGCCCCGGTCTGGGAGGATCCCAAATGCCGCGGAGCGGCTGGGACCTTGAGCCGTGGCCGCTGAGCCTGCGCGTCCCACAACGGGAGAGGCCACAACAGTGAGAGGCCTGTGTACCACCAAAAAAAAAAAAAAAAAAAAGATTTACTGTAGTTGTCAGTTAAATAGCATTGGCTGATGTCAAGAACTGAACTGATCTGATAAAAAAAAATTGGCACATCTTGTCATAGTTTTCGTGTCTCTGCAGTATATGAGGCTGTGTCCTTACATGAGGAGTCTAAGTAATTTTTGAAAACTAGTAGCACCTCATTGACAATAACAAAAGATTACAAAAATTTCAAGACAAGAAAGAATCACATTTTGGATTCTTTAGGGGTCAGCACACTTCTCCATGTTGAACTGTTTCTCTCTCTCTTTTAAAATTTATTTATTTAATTAATTTATTTTTGGTTGCGCTGGGTCTTCTTCATTGCTGTGCATGGGCTTTCTCTAGTTGTGCACAGGCTTCTCATTGCGGTGGCTTCTCTTGTTGCAAAGCACGGGCTCTAGACACGCGGGCTTCAGGAGTTGTGGCTCACAGGCTCTACAGCACAGGCTCAGTAGCTGTGGCGCAAGGGCTTTGTTGCTGCACGGCATGTGGGATCTTCCCGGACCAGGGATCGAACCCATGTCCCCTGCCTTGGCAGGTGGATTCTTAACCACTCGCTACCAGGGGAGTCCCAACAACTGGTTCTCTTTCTTTCTTTCTTTCTTTTTTTTTTTTTGCGGAACGTGGGCCTCTCACTGTTGTGGCCTCTCCCCTTGCAGAGCAACAGGCTCCGGATGCGCAGGCTCAGCGGCCATGGCTCATGAGCGCAGCCGCTCTGTGGCATGTGGGATCTTCCCAGACCGGGGCACGAACCCATGTCCCCTCCATCGGCAGGCAGACTCTCAACCACTGCACCACCAGGAAAGCCCAACAACTGGTTCTCTTAATGGCTCCTCAGGAATTAGGACAAAGTGGCTTCTCTCAGGATCCTTGTTCTCCACCTGGACACTGTCACCTTCCCCCAGCACAGCTGTGTGATGAGGTTCTATCTTTTGTTGGGTGTTAGGTCCAATATGCATGTTTCCAGATATGGTATAAATGAAGCTTGATCACCCTTTAGGAATAGGCTGGGAATGCTTTGCTCCTTGGTCCAATCTTAACTCCAAATATAAAGTCGGTGTGTAAGTGTAAATCTTGGACTTGATTCCCAGGGATTCTCCAGAAATGACAGCAACAGTAACACCATCCTTACGGGTTTAGGGATTTTGCTGCTTTTTACTTCCTGGTACCAAGGCTCCACCATCTTCTGTGAGCTCCTCAAATTAACCCACAGCTGTAGGCCATGGACTGACTCCTCCGAGCAAGGCATCTCCGCACAATGCCCCAGCCCATGGTCATCCACTGTAGGTCTCCTGTGTTCAACTGACCAGCATGTCCACAGAAGTCTTCGCTGGCCATGATAACCCCCTTCCAGGAGGTAATACACTGTTTCAAAACCTCAGTGTGGGTGATCAGGAAATCCACCTGGTCTACCGCCTTTAAATTCATCAAACAGTAAAAATGGATCCAGATTTTTAAACTAAGGTCAGCCAATGCTTCTGCGGACCCATGCTCCAACCCCTTCTGACTGCTCCCAGCTAAGCACTGAGGGTAACCTTGCACGATGCCATATAAAGGCTAAAATGCGAGCATGCTGAGGCTTAGCAGATTGCAGTGCTCTGCAGAAAGAAAAGTCATTTGCCACTTGCACCAAATTGCAGAGGACCATTTAAGCATCCCTGGCCATCTCCCTTGGAGACTCCCCTGGGAGTCTAAAGCTGGCCGGGGAGGGTGGGGTCCTGCTAACTGATCGATGGCACCGGTCCCGCCTGGCCCCATGGGTACCCGGTACTCCAGTGTTCTTGGGGGCCCCTTCTGAGCTTAAGAGATGAAAAAGCAAGAAAAGAAAATCCTGGAACATTAAGAAGGAAAAGACAGCTAATTCTTCAAATTTAATTCTAATACTATACCACTACATAGAACTCCAACTTGTTTACGTAAGGATGTGTAATTTGAAATGAGCAGGTGTACATAAGGTTTTCTTGATTTTTATCTATCTGAGAAACAATGCCTCTCTTTTACGCATAGTGAGGGACAGAAGGTAAACAACAGTTCTGGCCTTTGTCTGCCAAGGACACTAATAACCAGTTCCTCCTGAGGGATAAGTTCAATGAAATGATATTCCAACTTCGTTCTGTGAAATTGATAATTATTTCCTTTTCTTTGTTATCAAGGTCATCTGCAGTGCTAATAGAAATATAAAATGAGTCAAATATGTAATTTTTAATTTTCTGGGAGGCAGAATAAAAAGGTAAAAACAGGTGAAATTAATATTTTGCATGTACTGAGTTACATAAGCATAACTCAATATATGTAAAATATTAGCATTTCCACATGTAATTAAGACTCCGTGCTTCCACTGCACCACTGCAGGGGACACAGATTCCATTCCTGGTGGGGGAACTAAGATCCTGCATGCTGCCACGGAGCCCAGCCAAAAAAAAAAAAAGTCAGTAGCCACGAGGTAAAGGTATTAGAAAGGACCCAAGGCACTGATATCCATGGGTCCATGGGTTAATCCTTAGGTGGCATTGCTTAGCAGAGGGTAAACAGCAGATGTGGGTGTGATTCAGTGATGGTGCGGGACGGTTTGTTGCACACATGGCCTAAAATCCCCAAAAGAGCCTGAGAAAGATGGAGGCAGCAGACATCTCTTCCTATTTCCCTAGTATTTACTCTGTTTTTTAAGTGGTTTAAAAAAATCTTTGTAAAAGCTTAATCAGAGAAATCAATAAGGAGACTGTTCAAAATCTATCACTGTGAAAAACTGAAATTGACCTAAAGTTTAACAATAAGGGATTTAACAATAGGGATTAACAAACAAAGTTCAACAAAAAGGGATTTAGGTCAATAAATTGACCTAAAGTTTAACAATAACAATAAATAAGTTTAACAATAACAATAAAACTAAATGCTACATGATCTGAAATCCTAATATGAACGTTAACTATGTATAATAACTAGACATTAGGAAAACTGGTCATTAAGTGAAATAGACAGCCTTGTACTATGCTTTTCCAAGGCAATAAAATATTACTATGCTCCAGATAAATCCCAGGAAGATCATCATTTAAGAACACCATTCTATAATTCAAGAATTACAATGATCTAATTATACCTAATGTATTATCTGTGCATTAAAAAACATCTAATATGATAAGCTGCTCCTACGCAGGACTTTACAATTGACAAAATACTTTCCCATAAATTAGGTCATCTGATCCACATAACAACTGAGTGAAAAAGATAGGGTAGACATTCATTCATATGTCAAGCACATGCAGGAAGCTGACAATAAATAAGACTTCGTTCCTTACCCTTGAGATTCTCATTGCTCAAGTAAGAAAGAAAAAAATTAACAAATAACACTGCATTTTGGTAAATGATGTACAAGGGTCTATGGAAATACTAAGGACTGAATGTCTAAATCATTTGGGCCAGTGATAAGGATGTTCTCATTTTAAGAAACTAAGGCTCAGAAAAGCTAAGTGACTTGACCAAGACTTTACAGCAGATAAACAGGAAAGTCAGGTTTGAACCCATGTCTTTGCCTCCTAATCCAGTACTCTTTTTACTAACTCAGACTCACTGCTCTTTGAAGTGTGACAGCTGCTTTATACTCCACAAGAGATGGCCTCTGTTGGCGAAAATTCTTCCTTTCCCTGTACCCTCTCCAATGTTTCTGGATAATCAATGCTGATTTCTCTTCTATTTCCCGATTATGTTTTTCCACCTGACCTAAAAAGATAACAAACACTATTACAACATACTCACTTCTATGCTTTCTCAAGTTCTAGAATCAGGACAATGAAAGTACCAACAATCTTGCAGTCCTTTTATTTTTTTCAATATTGATTTTCCCAATTCTATTATTTTACAATGGTTATAAGATTTTAGAAACAAAACGCTCCAAAAGCTTTCTCAGATTATGCTTCTTTGGAAAAGACTCATATCATTTTTTTTGTCTCAGAGGAATGAGAAAAGGGCTAAAAATCCAATAGCAAGAACATTTAGAAAAAAGAATCACAAGTAAATAGTTAGAAAGTCATTCAGTACTACAAAAAGGGAAAAGCACATTGTGTATATATGTTACCTACTCTGCGTGGTTCTAAATTTCTCTTTAGTCACTCAGTTAGTTCTACAGATGACTTTCTTTTTACTTTCTGGGAGTTAGTCAGCATACAGTCTAGGGTTCACAGTAGCTAAGTGACAGAATAAGGTGGAAGGTAAAAATAAAAAGGGATATATTTGAGAGTACCAAAAATTGATAGGATTTAGTGGTGAACTAGATGTGGAGGGAGGGAAAAAATTCTAGGATGTCTCATAGATGGGACACTGAGTAGACTGTTGGTGCAATTACCTGAGAGATGAGGAATACAGGAAGAGGAAATCAGTGAGGGAAGATAATGACTAGTTTTGAGGATGTTTGTGGATATCTAAGTAAAGCTAACCAATAGGCAGCTGGCTACAGGGCTGTGTTGTCCAATGTAGTAGGCACTAGCCACAACTGGTTACATAAATTTAAAGAAAGTAAAATAAAATTTTAGATCCTCAAGTGCACTAGCCACATTTCAAGTCAACAGCTACCTCTAGCCATTGGTACTGTGAAGATATAGAACACTTCATTTTGTAGAAAGTTCTACTGGGCAGGGCTGGTCTAGAGCTTAGGAGAGAGGGTGAGGATGCAGACAAGATTCCAGAGTGCTAAGCACTCAGTTGGTAGTTGAAGCTGCAGTTATGGATGGGATACCTCAGGAAGAGCAACATGAAAATAATGGGGTAAGGATGGAACCCTGGGAAACATCTGAATTTAAGGGAAAGAAAGAGAAATATGAAGCTAGTGAAGGATACTGGGAATGAGTAGTAGAAGGGGGAAGGAGTAGAACTAAAAAGGAATCTTGAAATGACTCAGATTTCCCAGACTACACTTTAATATTAATTTCAGCTTAGTGTGTCCAAAGTGGCAAGAGGTGTCACAAGGTTTGTACTGAGTTCTGAGGGCAGAATGTAGCAATATTCTAACACCTTACTTAAGTTCAAGGGGGTTCTTTCTTTATGTCAAAGACAGATATCTTTAAGCATAAAATTTTGTTTCACTAATTTATCTGAAAGAAAAGAAAAATTACTGGAGAGATTGCTCATCATAAACTAATAGGCCTTAATCAAAAAAAAATAGTTACTTTTTTTGACTCAAGAGATTTAATAAGATTTATCTGAAAAAGGAGAAACAGGGAAAAGATCCCCATTTAAAAAAATAAATCATCAGGTAGCTAGGAAATTTGGTTTATTAAAAGATATCCTAATCAGTCTTAATTACACTTATAAAATTGATACTGCCACACACCTGGATGAACTATTTCAAGCATACTCAGCCGTAATTCTCGGGAAAGTCTCATGGCTCTCTGCCTTTGAAGTTGCAGTTGTAATCTGCAGTCCTCTTCTTCCTTCTGTCTACTTAGCTTCAGTAACATCTTTGTTCGCTTAGATCTGTGATGGAAACATTAAGTACGAAACATTAAGTACACACAATTTTCATAATTATATGTCCACTCAAGAAGTATTTATGAAAAATGGCTTAACCTCACTAGTAATCATATAAATACAGACAGCAAAAAAAATTTCAAAGATAATTCCTAGTGTAGTTAGAGTATGATGAAATAAGTTTTCATGTGCTGCTCTACAACCTTTCTGAAGAAATATTTTGGATACATGCATCAAAATATTTCTGAAGAAATACTTAAAATATGTATCAAAAGCCTTAAAAATGTTAACCAATTAATTCCATTTCTAATTATTTTCATAAGGAAAAATCTAATACGTATGTAAAGACTTATGTTAAAGGATGTTCTCCATAGCATTACAACAGTAACAAGTTGAAAACAAACCATATGTCCTACAATAGTGAGTTATATAAATAAATACTGGTTCATTCACCGGACGGAATTCTATAAACTATGAAAAAATAAAAATTTCAAAGAAGCAATCACTGTCCCTAAGGCAGACAAAGAAGAGATAGAGTTATGCCCTTAATCTCGGTTTCAAGGGGGAAGTTGAAGGGTAGTGGAATATGCCACTCTGGCATAAAGATCGTTTTGAGCTGGAGGCAAATGAGAATCAGGAAACACAGAAAGAAGCCTTCCCAGAGGATCCCTTAACTGGCTAAAAGCAGAAACAGCTGAGAAATGAGGACTGCCATAAATTTCCCCTCCCAAGGAAGTTTTATGGCCATAGAGATGGAACTGCACAAATAACCCATATCTTCCATAAGTTCCCCAATATATTTACCTTCCCCAATATACTTACCTTCCCACAGTTTGTTGCCCTCAGAAGCCTAAAATCCTTTTCTTTTCACCTGTCACTTCTCTATAAATTATTCTTTGTTAACATCTATATAGGCCCCAATTTTTTTTTTTTTAAGGTAAGAAGTGGATTTATTTAGAGAAATACATGTTCCATAGACAAAATGTGGTCTGTCTCAAAAGGCGAGAACGGCCCTGGGAGAAACACACTCCACAGAGTGTGGGCCATCTCAGAGGGCGAGAGCTATATAATACCAAATTCTAACCCCCCCTTTGAGTTATGCATCATGTCAGGTTTCTTCCATGTGACGTGTGCTACACATGTTAAGAAACTGTTTTTCTCTTGTTAATCTGTTTTTGTTTTTGTCAGTATAATTTTCAGGGCCCCAACCAACGAACCTAAAATGTATAGAGGTAAAAACTGTTTTCTTCCCCTACAAAGTCAACCAAATAAAATTAAAATACCTAAGTATCAGCACCATGATAGAGGAAGGTAAATTGTGAGCTTTCCTGCTTGTGAGGCAGCTGTTAGCTGCTTAAGTAAACCTTGCTGAGGAAAAGGGTACTTAACAGAAAACAAAGTTTCTGACCATGAAAAGTGATTAAATAAAGAAGAAACCCCCAAGAAAGTGCTTTAGCAAGGGTGTGACTATAAAAGAGTACCTCTTGTTGAATCCGAAGCTCTGATGAATCTAGGTCCATAACTGTGAGTGGTGGGCAGTCCCTCCCCCCAAAAAACATGGGAGGGAAACTACTCTGAGATAATAACCTGACCACAAAGAGACAGAAATAACCTTGGCAGAAAGCCCAGCTACAAAGGAAGTAAAAGAAATTTGCATAAACTTGCTGCAACTAATAGAAGAGGAAAGGTGCTGAAGCCTGGAGCAAACTGGAGATTAAAAAACTAAAAACTCATTATAATGTGAGATTTAAATAATTTTGGCTTCATGGCTGATGTCTTATAATGGATATATTTATAACTGGTCTGGTGTTGTTTCATAAAGCAATGGAATTTCTATTTTAAAATAGTGGAATCTTAATTAGATTCCACAGATACCCCTCTAAGTGGACAAAATCTTTAATCCTAGGATGCTTTTAAGTAAAGATTTTAATATTGCAAAGAAAAGTAAACTGGCAAATTTGGCAACTACTGTAAGACTAAACATTAAAGGTCTGAATCCATGGCATGGGGCACCTTTAAATGTAAGATACATAGCTGAGAATGGTAGCAGGAAGATCCATAAGGGATAACTACTCTGAGTTCACTACAAAGGTAAGGCTATACCAAGAACATCTCAGACTCTTGAATAGAAGAATATACAGTGTGACTCTCAAAATATTCATCATCTCCCAAACTTATTTAACCAAAGAAATAACTTTTTAAATATTTTTAAAGAAATAGCTAGTAGGATAGACAAACTCTGAGCAATGCTGGAATGGATTATACTTGCTTCTCATGAGTACTATTTACTTAACAGATCTGCCTGTCTAACTAGATTTGTAAATCTTCAAGGGCAAAAAATGTGCCATATGCATTTTCCTCTAAGTGCCCAGTAACATGCTAAAAAAACCTTTCTATTATTTTAATCTTGTGAGGTACACAGACAATTATCCCCATCTTATAGATGGGAAATTTGAGGCAAGAGAGGTGGGGCAACTTGTCCAAGATCATTCAGTTCACAAGTTGCTGAGGAGGGATACAAACTCAAGTCTGTTTAACTCTCCCAATACCTAGCACAGCCTCTGGCATATATTAGGCACTTGAAGCATGCTTAAAAAATTAACAATTTTTTGGCTACCAACAAAACTCATGCCCAATGATATTAATAACTTATCTTTTAAGTTTTCTCTGAAGGAAACTTTTATCAATGAAAAGCATGTCCACTAAGGGACACAGCCAGAGTGGCTTCAATACCTTCCACTAACCCATCCAGATTCTTAGAGGCAATGGAAAGAAAACACACAGACACAAATGACTTAGCTCCTAAGGTCATTTATGATAAAGTGGAGCCATCTCAGAGGTGATTTCTCATGCAGCCTAACTTAAAGCTAAATTTTAGTTCACTATTTTAAAACACATTTGTAACTGAGAAACACAGCTGCAGTTATCAAAAGAATAGTTTCAGTTTTCTTAAAAAAAACATTGACTTCTGGAATATGCAAGTTACACTTTAGTGAACTAAAATTTAGCTTTAAATTAGGTTACATGAAATCACCTCTGAGATGGCTCTAATTTATCAACAATGACCTAAGAGCTAACTCATTTGTGTGTGGTGTGTGTGTGTTCTTTTTGTCACCTCTAAGAATCTGGATGGATTAGTCATGTAAAAACTGGGCCATGTCTTCAGTATTTCATTTTTAGTTTACTTGAAATAGCAACAAATGACAAACTATGTCATATCTCAATGACCATATGTGTCCATGCCATATTTACTGAGGAAAATCAGGTTAACATACTTAAACCTTTTTGTACTCATACACATTTTTACCAAAATTACATATGAACAATTATGGCAACTTTTAGTTTTAAGGGTTTGATGAGATAATTGACCATTACTGGCTCCCTCTATAGGCCTGGCCCACAAGAAAGTCTCATTAAGTGAACAGGATTGTGTATTTGTTACATCACATTCCTGTCTTACATTATGTCTTTTGCTTTTGGAAGTACATCTAGTTAATGAAGTGCTGGTACTCAGAAATATATGAAGCAAGAATGAAAGAAACGGATTAGAATATTGAAAAAGAAAAAAAAAACACCCCAAACTATAAGTTTTCATTCAGCTATACTCTAATAAGATACATCTAGCCCTCTCAGATCATAATTCCTCTCACCCAAATTTTTTACCTGAAACTCCTCTGCAAAGTAATCACAGCAGATGGAAGCTTCTTTAATCTCTTTCTAGTCTGGAAACCCTTCCAATAAGCTTGAATCAAGCAAGCTGCTTGATGCAGTTTCTGAAATTAAAGGCCAGAATTAATTTAGAGACATCTCTAGGAAAGTCTTTTTTAGAAGTTTACTTCTTAAAATATCAGGCCTGGGCAAGTATTAATCTCCATTTTTAATAAGCTGAGCAGGAGGCAACATCTGCATAGGCCCAGGACAGGGAAGGCCTAAGAATATTAAACCTGATCTCCCAAAGGAAGCTCAGTTAGGCATTATCTAGAATGTATTCAAGATACAGTCTAGTTAGCTTCAAATTCTCCCTGATTAATCTCACTTCCATTCCCATTACAAGGATTTCATAGTTTTGCTTATTTAATGTTTTAACTTCTTTGCTTCACTTCCTATGCCTGGCTTCATTTATTCAAAGATTCAAGGGTATGAGGGACTCTTTGTATAGGTTTAAAAAAAAAAAGGCTCTGGGGTTAAAAATTTAGACCATAAACAACTCCTTCTCCCATCAAACTATGGCTGCTCTGGATGTTAGGGGAAAATAAGTAAAGGAAGGGGGAGAGAGAGCAAATAAAAGATTCAAGAGACTACCACTATCCAATATTTTGAAACTAAAATGTTAGTAAATATCATGCAAATTATTTTTATAATTTAGTACCTGCTCTTCTACTTCCTGATAGACCTTAGGGCTTAAAAGACCAATGAGCTGTCTAAGTTCTTGACTAAACTCTGTCCCAGGCTCTTGTTTATTTAGTAGACTTCTGAGTCCTGAAATGCAATAACAAAGGCACAACTATTAATAATAAAATATGATTTTGCTATCTAATCAGAATTAATTTGAGGTTAAAAAGTCTAGTTTAGAAACAAATGAAAACAATAACAAGATTAATCACATGATTTTTCTTTTTCCTTTTCTCAAAAACTTCTAGATTGAGGTCTTTAGGATTTTCCACTGTCCTGGAGTTCTTATGTGCTTACTCGTGAGATCTGATGCAAAATCTGTCTAGTCAACCTCTTTAATTAAAAAAAAAAAGGGAGAATGGAATCACTGCGATAAGTCAAAGGGTAGAGACATATAGTTGTGGTTTTTTTTTTGAACATAAATACCTTAAACAAAAACATTTAAAAAAAGATAATGAATACATACTGAGTAAATGCCTATCCTGTGGAAGCACTTGAGCAGGTTATTAGTTACTACTAATTATATGGAGTTATTATTACATAAAAATATACAGTAATGTATGTAATTTGGGGTAAATCAATAGGTTCCTGAGCATTTATTATAGGAGAAGTGCTATAATATTAAAATACTGCACTTTCATCCCAAATTAAAACTGAGTAGTAATATAAGTTACAAAGTAAGTACTATTTCCAGCGTACGGAGGAATGATGTATTATAATGTATGTACACAAGATACATCAGCAAGGGAAAATGGCCTTGGAGTGTACAAATGGGGAAGCCACTAGATAGGTCTTTCCATGTCATACTTTCTTCAAGACTCAAGTTCTCAGCAGTATTAATAATTGTAAAATATCTTGAGGAAACTGAATAAGTTCTACTGTTGAGAAAAGAAAGGGAGACAGCTTAAGATAAAATTCCTTTAGAATGAACTGTTGGACATTCACATTTCTATAGAGGAAATCTAATTACAGAAATAAAAAAATGTGTATCTGGCACAATATCATCTAGACAGTTTTATTACTGGCACTTCTCTCCCTATTTCTATAATACATAAAATAATTACAATGTTCACAGTAATGACTCATGCAAGATAAGTCACTAAAGTGCCTTCCAAATCATCAAGAATGATTAAAGGCCATTGTAATAGTTTTGGTATTAAATGCATCACATTATATTCTAATTCTTGAAATTTTATATATAATATAACCCTGTATTAGTAAGTATATTTAATCAATTAGAAACCTACTTCTTGACCATACCAAATAAGAAAATATATTGTAATGGATTCATGGCTCTGGCTAGCAAAGAAATAAAACAAAGCTAACATATAACTCTGATTAACAGTTGAAAAAAAAAAAAACTACCTGAGTAATTCTGGGTAAACACCTACATTTTTTCCATGCCTCTGTTTCCACTGCTATATAATGAGGATAAGAGTAAACATCTCACAGGATTGTTATGAAGATTAAATATTTTAATACACATAAAGTATGAGGAATAGTCATCTGACACATAGTAAATGCTCAATTAAATGAAAGATTATTCTATGGTAATGGTAAAACACTGAGTCCTTTCCTTCTCAAGTTTTCTGACTTTTTATTCACATATATGTTTGATTTTGGAGGTGAGGGAAATTTTTTGTTTGTCTTTGAGGAAAGGCATTATAGGAGTTGAAGAGTAATTATTAATTGATGTAAAGATCAAAAGGGCTGTCAATCTCTGAAGCACAGCTCTATTTTCTCAGTAAAGTTAGGTAAGATCAGTGATCTTTTTTTGGTCATTATTTTACTACACTATATGGTATAATCAATACACAGCCTTTTTGTCAGAGAGGGAGCAAATATTCATTGTAACCTTGTCAATAAGGTATCATATGCCACCTGTTGAGACATGAAGATGGCTGGATTACATAAAGGTTTTTTCCCTGAACTGTTATCTGCTGTGACAGAGTTTATCTGCACATTTCAATTATTGACTTTTTAAAAACACAGGTATTTTGTTTTCCATAAACCATCAATAAAAATGTTCTTTTTGAGACTTTCAAGAACAGAAAGAATATATGTACTACCTTTGTAGCAGGCACTTAGTCTCAGTAAAATCAAAATTTCCTGATGGGATTTAGCCATCAACAGTAGGAGCCTTGTAGCAGTACTTCTTATGACTGGACTAGGAGTTGATAAAAGTTTGAAAACAACTTCATCTAAAATTGAATGCAGGGTTTTCACTTCTATTCTGAGTAAATCACCACTAATAGAACAAAATAAAAAAAAAAGTACCGTTACTAAACGACACATAAGTATCTCAAAAAATTAAACATTACAGGTGCAGCAAGTTAATGCCTATGGCCTGATCCATGAAGATAACCAATAGTTTAAGCAGATAGCTTAGTTCCAAAAATACATCACATTAAATCAATTAATTGAATTCTTACTGTAAGGCACCATGCTAGGTAAAGTAAGGAATACAAAGTTGACAAAGAAACTTGCAATCAAATACTGGAGGAAAGATAAATGTGCAAAATAGTAAATAGATGGTTCAAAAGCTTCAAGGCAATAATAAGAGGAAGATCACAGGACATTAAGTACATGGTTCACTGCTTAATGATGTACGAAGACAAACATGTTATAGGAATTCAATTATCATGTACTTAATACAGAAGGAACTTTTTCTTTTAGTATTCCTCTATTACACTAACAACCTCATGTTGCATTACTGATGTCATGAAAAATTACCTGAAACGTCGAAATAGTCAAAAGGGATTACTGGGTGTTCTTTTACTCACCCCACCAAGGAATATGTGATTTTCTAGGGGTGTGTACCTTTGATTATCCATTTACTACTGATTAGGATATTTTGCAATTCTGTAAAAGTAGATGTTGGCTTGTAGAAAGCAAATAATGGCAATGATTATTATCTGAGAACAATGCAAAGAGATTCTTACTCAACAACAATATAAATGACTTTTATCCACTAGAAAAAGTAACCGTAAAGGTTATGCCTGATACTCTCTACCATTCAGTTTCTGTGATAAAATGTTCTTCTGATCCTCTTCCATCCTCTACTTACAGATTTTTGACCATTCTTTCTCAGTCTTCTTTGTGGGCTCCCCTTCCCCAATATACCCCTTAAAGGTTACTCCCCAGGATTCTATTTTCAGCCCATTTCTTTTCTCAGTCTATTCATATTTTCCACTGAGCTCATCTTCTCTCATGTTTTTAACTATCGGTTTTAGGCTAACTCATAAGTCCACAGTTCTAGTCCAGATCTCTTCCAGAAGTCACATTCACTTGTCAGTGGACATTTAAGTTGTCTTGTCTTTGGGTGTTACAGATAAAGCTGCTATAAACATTTGTGTACAAGTCTTTGCATGGACTTTTATTTCTCTGTCTGCTGAAAATATCTACCTATGTTGGACATAACCAATATTGAATTTGTTTTGGCTATACCACTGTCTATTATCCATTATAGAAAACTTGGTGTCATACCTGAATGCATCCTTTATTTTACTCCGTATCAAAATGCTCATGAAGACCTGATGATTTTTTATTTTGACCAGCTTCATTAAAGTATAATTGATATACAACAAACTGCACACATTTAAATGTACAATTTGGTAAGTTCTGACATTTCCCCATCACAATCAAGATAATGAACATACCCATCACCCATCAAAGCTTCCTTTTGCTTCACTGTAGTCCCTCCCTTCTTACCTTCCCTGGCACCTTATACTCAGGCAACCACTGATCTGCTTTCTGTCACTATAAATTAATTTACATTTCCTAGAATTTTATACATAGTTATGATTGTAGATCCTATCTGAACATCATCAGTTTGCAGAAATGATTACTTTGTATTACTAAAGGAAGAGGGGGAAAAAAAAGAGCAAAGCAGAGATTCTATCATGGCACAAGTTTGATTTTCTCATCCTTTTAAAGCCAAATCAAAGTATGACCATTTCTGCTAAACTTCCTGCCTTTGTATTACTTTACAAATAAAGAAAATTTTAAGATGTAGGCAGTTTCAATAACCAGATGTGGTTAAGTTGCTTGGAAACAATTTGATCCTTTCAGATCTTGCTTTCATTTTGTTGGGATGATCCAGAATGGTGCTCAGTCTAGTGCTATTATCCCTTACTACTAGGATGAAACCATCCTGAGTACTCTCAGTGCTCCATTTTTCATGTAGTTTTCCAGTTTGGCTGCTGGAATCAGTCAGTATTCTTGGCTCTGTGTTTCTGGTACTGCTCCTTTTAATCCTTCTGGATTACTGTTTTCCACGACATTGGATAGTTTCCTCAAACGCATGTGCTGATCAGTACTCTACTGAAAACTTGTAGGGGACTCTGCAGATCTCTAGGGTTCTCTCTTTGTGTAGCTCTCTCTTCTACGGTATCCTGTCTTATAAACTCTAGCCTACTTTTCACCCTCTGCATGTTGTTTCTTACCTGTGTGCACTTGCTTATATTGTTACCTCTGCCTAGAAATACTGTTTTCTCTTCTTCCTCCCTGGCTAATTTCTTATCCGTAAAGTTTCATCTCAGGTGTTAACCTTCTCCAGGAAGTAGCCCCCCCTCAGTTTGGTTTAGGAGCTCCTCTAATACTTGTGTACCCTTAAACATGGTAACTTATTACACTGTAATATAATTGTCCTTATGTGTTAGTCTCTTCCACTATACTGTAAGCTATTTGAAGACAAGGTTCATATCTTAATCAATTTTGTAAACCCAATGACAGACGAATACTTGGCACGTATAGTAGATGCTTAACAAATCCATATTGAACTGAAAGAATCAATGATTTCAACAGTGTTTACTCTGCCTTTCTATTTTAACCTGGGAAAATTGCCTATTACTTCTTTTATGCCCTTCTATAGCACCTGGCAAATACTAAGCTTGCAGTTTGCTAAATAAATATATGATTAAATATTTTTTATTGTGATCCCAATATCTTCCTTCAGATATCACAGTAATTTTTCTTCTCTAAGCCTGCGATTTGGATTAAAATCTTCTTAAGCTCTAAGATAAGATACAAATTTGATAACAAATTTCCAATCTTTTACAGTATTTTACATCCATTTTTTTCTGAAATACAATGGTAATAATAGAGCTTTTTAAATGCCATGTACAAGTCATATGCAATCGAAGATTTTAGGAAAATTGGAATAAAATTGGTAATGCTTCTGATCACAAATAAAAAAATTCTACATATTTTGTAAGGCCAAGTTACCTGTTGATCTGTAGTATGTTCTGTAGCATGGTCATGACCGTAGATCCTACCTGAACATTGTCAGTTTGTAGTAAGTGCAAGAAATGATCACTTCGCAGTACTAAAGGAAGAGAAAATAAGATTAAGATTCTATGATGATACAATTAGTATTTACTTGCCCTTTCAAAACCAAGCCAAAGCATAATCATTTCTGTTAAACTTCCTGCCTTTATATACTTTGCAGTAAAGATTTTCTAGAATAGTTTCAATAACTATAATAGATAGCTATCCCATTTTTATGGACAGTTACAAATAAAGAAATACTAAGCTAAGATGGGACTTCCCTGGTGGTGCAGTGGTTAAGAATGTGCCTGCCAATGTAAGGGACACAGGTTCCATCACTGGTCTGGGAAGATCCCACATGCCACAGAGCAACTAAGCCCATGAGCCACAACTACTGAGCCTGCACTCTAGAGCCCACGAGCCACAACTACTGAGCTCGTGTGCCACAAATACTGAAGCCTATGCACCTAGAGCCCGTGCTCCGCAACAAGAAAGCCACCGCAATGAGAAGCCCATGCACTGCAACGAAGAGTAGTAGCCCCCGCTAGCTGCAATTAGAGAAAGCATGAAGACCCAATGCAACCAAAAATAAATTAAAAGAAAAATAAAGAAATACTAAGCTAAGAATCTACTGTTATCTCCCCTTAAATTAAAAGTAAAATATAAAATCCTAAAACTGAATCTCCTTTTCTAGCAGTGAGTTCAGTGAAAAAAACCAAATTTTCTGTGAAAAAAAGAGAATGTGAAGGAATAGCAATGGTACAGATGACCGTAATCAGTGGCTCATGTCCTTAAAAATTTAATTGTTATATAATGTATCATATTTATCATGTTTGCTAATATCTTATCTTAAATAATAATAAATCATTAATTACCCAGAAGAGTATTTGTTTGTATTGGTTTATAATTTTTAGGTTCTGAGCAGCCAGTTATGAAGACTTGGCACTGGATGCTTACGCAGGTCGCTTAACCTCTCAGAACATCTATTTCTGCCTGTATAAAACTAAAAATAACAGCTCTTTCACAGACTACTGTAAAATGTCCTAGAACAGCGTAGGTTCCCAGTAAATGTCAGTTTATAGTCCTTTCTTCACTAACTGATCAGAATTTTTTTAAAAAATAAATTTATTTATTTTTGGCTGTGTTGGGTCTTTGTTGCTGTGCACGGGCTTTCTCTAGTTGCGGTGAGCGGGGGCTACTCTTCATTGCGGTGTTCAGGCTTCTCATTGCAGTGGCTTCTCTTGTTGTGGAGCATGGGCTCTAGGTGTGCAGGCTTCAGTAGTTGTGGCGCACGGGCTGTAGAGCACAGGCTCAGTAGTTGTGGCACACAGGTTTAGTTGCTCCGTGGCACGTGGGATATTCCCGGAACAGGGCTTGAACCCGTGTCCCCTGCATTGGCAGGTGGATTCTTAACCACTGCACCACCAGGGAAGCCCCTCAGAATTTTAATTAAAGTGGGATCAAGTATGTTGGCAAGGCAGCTCTGTGAACACTACCCTAGCTTCTACAAAACAACTTTCCTCTTTTCCTCTTTCAGTTTCCTGAGGGAACGTATTTGATTTCTTTCACATACTAACTACTGTTCTTCATTTCTATTTATATAATACAGTATTTCAATATCTCACCAGATACCATTCTTTTTTAATGTTTAACAACTTCAAAGCACAATACCACTACTATTAAATATTTTTATGGCTTCTAATTTTCTATTCTTTAATAGCAAAAAAATTCTCCTCTGTAGCTGGGATAAGTGTATTTTTCCATTTTTGTCTACTTAAAGATGTTTCATTAACAACTCTTTAATTAAGTTTGAATTCACTGAAATCATATAGTATCTAGTGTGTATATACCTTTTTTCTATATTGGAAAAATTATGATAATTTATTAAAGTTATTCTACTTTATTTTTTATACTATTTGTCTTATATTATTATATAACTTATTTTTGGAGCCTCTATTATGTTTTTCAAGTGCAGTCAGATAACTATTTGGTCCCCCAAACTAAAACTGATACTTCTGCCCATTTCTTTCTTTAATTAAACTTTTTACAATTAAAGTTTCAAACATATGTAAGAGAGAACAGTATAATGACCCTGCATGTACCAGTCACTCAACTTTAACAGTGATCAACTCACCAACAATCTTGTTTCACCTATCCCATCTACTTCCTGCCTCTCATTTTATTTGAAAGCAAATCTAAGACATCAAATCATTTTATCCACAAGTATTTCAATACATATTCCCCAAACATATGAATTATTAAAAAATAAAACATAGCCATTATCTAACCTAAATAGTCATGATTCCTGATTTTATCAAATATCCAGTCAGTCCTCCCATTTCCACTTTTTGTGTGAATTTTTTTTTTTTTTTGCTGTATGCGGGCCTCTCACTGTTGTGGCCTCTCCCGTTGCGGAGCACAGGCTCCGGACACGCAGGCTCAGCGGCCATGGCTCACGGGCCCAGCCGCTCCGCGGTATGTGGGATCTTCCCGGACGGGGGCACGAACCCATGTCCCCTGCATTGGCAGGCGGACTCTCAACCACTGCGCCACCAGGGAAGCCCTTTGTGTGAGTTTTTAAAAGTTTATTTGAATCAAGATCCAATTAAGAGTCACACATTGGAACTGGTTATCTTTCAAATTTCTTTTAACCTATGGGTTTCTACTTTACCTTTTTTCCCCCTTGCAATTTATTTATTGACGAAACTATGTCAATTGTCCTATGAGTTTCCCACAGTCTAGCTTTGCTAACTGCATTCCTGGGGTATAATTTAATGTTTCTCTGACCTTCTAAAAATTGGTAGTTGGAGCTCCAGGATCAAAATGATTCATGTTTGAATTTCTGGCATATCCATGTCATATGTGAGGTTATGATGAGGCACTTATTATCTGGTTGTCTCTCCTTTTGAGGTGTTGACAGTGATGGATAATTCACTAAAGGTTGCAAAATAGCACTATTCTATCATACCCTTTTCACTTATTAGTTGGGATATGTTTATAAAGAAAAGTTTCTCCTCATCAATATGTAAGAAAAGGCAGTATAAATGACGAACTCTCCATTTAACAGTTTTCAAAATGAACTGGTCCCCTAGCAGACTCTAATGGTAACTTTTATTAATAATGGTATGGGAATATATAAAAAAAAGATTAGCAAAATGTTGATAACTGTTGAGGCTCAGTGATGAGTACATAGGGGTTCATTATACTATTCTACTTTCCATAATAAAAGGTTAAAGTTAATAATCTCACTATATTTGACGAGTTTTAATCCACTGTAGTTATTACCCTTACTACTGTTCAAATTTCGCATTTTTAGCTAGTAGAAGCCTCCTTATGTTGGCTCCTGAGTCCTTTTCACAGAATCCTAACAGACTTTGATTGCTTCCTTCCTATCTAGTTATTCAAGATACTTCTGGCTTATCTTGCATATTTTCTACCTCATACCTATATATAGTCAGCCATTTCTCCAAGGAGGTGGTTCTTTTGAGAGAAAAGGTTACTGGACATCCTAATTTTGTATCCAATTGTTTACCTTAGTTTTAATACCTACTTTATTGGTGTTTTAAATCTACAGATTGATCTGAGGAGTACTGTCACTTTTGTTATAATTTTTGAAAAGGAATATGGTGTATTTAAAAATTTTTCAAGTATTCGCTCTCTCACTGTCTCTCATTAACTAGGTCTTTAATATCTCACTATAGTGTGGCTAAGTACTTTATATTTTTGATAAAATAGTTCTTTAAGTTGGGAAGTTTATACTAATATTTGTTCTATAATGGGAAATGAATAGATAATGCTTATTTTTAAAAGAAGTATTCAAGCATGTTACTTAGCTCTATGTGGATATAACTACCAAAAGTATTAGTTATACTAATCGAAAGTAGTTGCCTTTAGAAAACGGGAACTGGAGTGAGGTGTGAGGGCCAGGGATTGTGTGTATTTTTTAAACAATTCTTACGGAACTATCCGACTCTTTAAATTATGCACAGACATAATTCTGAGAGTAAAAAATAAAATATTAATATTCAGTTCAATTTTAACGTTCTAAAAAATATCAATGTTCTTATATTATTCCTATATAATTACATTTCTCTTAGATTAAATCTTTCAAGAAGGTAAGAATGTTGTCATAATTATTATTAGTTTACTTTCTTAGTCTTAAGGAAACATAATATAAAACTAACATGTATTTGTATTGCTCAGTGTAAGTACAGAAATCCTATATAGTAACTTTCAAGTTTAGTAAAATATCACTATATAAAAGCTTACTCTTACATCAATAGTTAGGCTGTGAGTTAAATTATATCTATACTCTGTACATAGGGATGTCTATCATACTAAGTCTAAAATATAACTGTAATCTTTGGGGGAAAAAAAAAAAGATTTTCCCTAGACTAAACTGTTAAGATCATTAATCCTTATCTTAGATTTGCTAAATAGAAAAAACTAAGGAGAAAGTTATATTTTAGCAATTTTCCACTTAATGTAACATCCACATTGTTGATGTTGTCTATTTAAAGCTGGAACATCCAAATGTGCTTTTACTTTTTGTGTGGGGGGTTATTTCAGTGTGGTTTCATTTAACTGTGGTTATCTGTAGTTAATGGGGTATTTATTTTTAGAAAAAAAACAAACTGTTAGCAGGTGACTCTACAATGACTATCAATTAAAAAATCTTTTTTCTTACCATTCTGGATGAGTTGAACATGTCCTCCCAATAGCCAGAAGAGAGAATCAGTCACAATTTCAAAAGAGTGTAGTAATGCATCTTTTTCTTCACCCTTAACACACACAAAAAAAACCAATTGACTTTTCTGTAATTGTTTTAATTAATAAAAGAATAGACTTCTCTCTGAAGAGTCACAGGACCTGGTTTCTGCATCTATCTCAGCTATTTATGAGGTACATGATCTTGTAGCTTTTAGTTTCTTAATTTATAAAACTGTGGTAACAGGCTAGTAATACCTACTCTACTTAACAGAAATGGTTGCTATCCAGAGGTCAAATGGGACAATATACGTAGTATAAGAACTACAAGTTGATACACTAGGATTTTTCGATACCAGCTATACATAAGAATCATCTGTGGAGTTTTAAAAAATATCTCTGTGCACAGGCTTTAGTCCAAACATACTGAAATCTGAATCTCCAAAGTTAAAAGTCGGACCTCTGACTCTTTACAAGGTTAGGTGTGTGATTTGTTTATGTAGCCAGGGTTGAAAATCACTGCAATATGCAAATGTAGGTGTCAACATAAAAAGCATTATTATTAGTGCATTTCAGTTGCAGCTTCTACTCTATGACTCCATGAAGGCAGAGACCATGTTATTTAGCTCTCCACTATACACCCAGTGTCTAAAACAGTTCTGACACACAGTGAATGTTCAATCAATATTTATCCAATAAATAAATGACAATTTTTTCTGCTTCTTTCCTTCTGGAAAGTAGGGTGAGAAATTATTCTACATTAGAGTATGTGTCACAATGGGAAATAAGAAACAGATTACATTCACAATTCTGTCTTACTGGCCACATAATTTTAGTGGAAAGTTGTATAAAGGCCATTTATCTTATCCATGTCATGAATGTACTGTGGCCTAAAAGTAATGACAACAGCAAAAACATGGCTGCTATGGTTACTCTTCATAAAAATGAAAGTATTTTCTTCCTCAGGGTTAGATAGGTGCTTAAATAAATGTATACTGACAAATATACCAACAATCAAAAAAGAAAGAAGTGTCACATTAGATCAAGAATCCCTTTAGTCCAATAAACTGCCTTAGCCAGTTTCACTGAAATAAAGGGCACAGTAATCTTCATTGCTGCCAACCTCGAGGTATAGTGCTGGGCTCCTATACTTACTACTTTCCTTTAAAAACCCATTAGATAATGTCACCCACAAATTCATGGCCTCTGAGACTGGTTAACAAAATTTACCCTTAAGTCACTACAAAATTCTGGCAGTTATTTTCCTATTCTTACATATAAAATACATATATTGGGTTGGCCAAAAAGTTCGTTCGGGTTTTTCTGTAACATGTTATGAAAAACCCAAATGAACTTTCTGGCCAACCTAGAGAGAGAGAGAGAGAGAGAGAGTGTGTGAGAGAGAGAGAGAGAGAGAGAGAGAGAGTGTGTGCGCGCGCGCGCGCGCACGTGCGCGCACGTATATATACATATATGTGTATGCATATTTTAACGAGTTTGCAGTTTAGGCCATAATACCCTGTGTATGTCCCACCATGTGCTCTACTACCTACCTGCTAGCTAATTAAAAAATATATATATAATTGGGAAACAACTAGGTAGATAGAACTAATAGATAAATGGACATATATACACTACCAAACGTAAAACAGATAGCTAGTGGGAAGCAGCTGCATAGCACAGGGAGATCAGCTAGGTGGTTTGTGACCACCTAGAGCAGTGGGATAGGGAGGGTGGGAGGGAGGGAGACGCAAGAGGGAAGAGATATGGGAACATATGTATATGTGTAACTGATTCACTTTGTTATAAAGCAGAAACTAACACACCATTGTAAAGCAATTATACTCCAATAAAGATGTTAAAAATAATAATAATTCTGAAAAAAAATTCAGTTTTCTTTTTCTTTTTTTAACACTAGAAACAGAATTTTAATTAATTTTAAACCAAAGTCCAAATTGATCCATTTTAGTCTGTGCTGATAATTAACTTTTTCTGTGCTTCCCACTGCCATGATAACCCATCAACAAACAAGTGCAGGGACCTTCAAGATAGTGGAGGAGTAAGACGTGGAGATCACCTTCCTCCCCACAAATACATCAAAAATACCTCTACATGTGGAACAATGACTACAGAACACCTACTGAACGCTGGCAGAAGACCTCAGACCTCCCAAAAGGCAAGAAAATCCCCACGTACCTGGGTAGGGCAAAAGAAAAAAGAAAAAACAGAGACAAAAGAATAGGGACGGGACCTGCACCTCTGGGAGGGAGATGTGAAGGAGGAAAAGTTTCCACACACTAGGAAGCCCCTTCACTGTTGGGGACAGGGGGTGACCAGGGGGGAAGCTTCAGAGCCACGAAGGAGTGCAGCAACAGGGGTGCGGAGGGCAAAGCGGAGAGATTCCTGCACAGAGGATCGGTGCCAACCAGCACTTAGCAGCCTGAGAGGCTTGTCTGCTCACCTGCCAAGGTGGGTGGGGGCTGCGAGCTCAGGCTCAGGCTTTGGAGGTCAGATGCCAGGGAGAGGACTGGGGTTGGCTGCGTGAAGTCAGCCTGAAGGGGGCTAGTGCCCCATAGCTAGCCGGGAGGGAGTCTGGGAAAGAGTCTGAACCTGCCTAAGAGGCAAGAGACCATTGTTTCGGGGTGTGCAAGGAGAGGGGATTCCTGCTCCGTGTGCCCAGAGACAGCAGAGCACTGCCTAAGCGAGCTCCAGAGATGGGCATGAGCCACGACTGTTAGCTTGGACCCCAGAGATGGGCATGTACCGCTAACGCTGCCGCTGCTGTCACCAAGAATCCTACGTGCAAGGGCAGGTCACTACTCACACCCTCCCTGGGAGGCTTTGTAGCATGCCACTGCCAGGGTCCCATGATCCAGGGAAACTTCCCTGGGAGAACACACAGCACACCTGAGGCTGTTGCAATGTCACACTGGCCTCTCCCGCCACATGCTTGGCCCGCATTTCAATTATGACTACTGTACCCCTCCCTCTCCCTGGCCTGAGTGAGCAAGAAAGCCCTAATCAGCTGCTGCTTTAACCCCCTCCTGTCTGGGCGGGGAACAGATGCTTGAGAGGGGCTTACACACAGAGGTGGGGCCAAAACCAAAGCTGAACCCCAGGAGCTGTACAAACAAAGAAGAGAAAGGGAAATTTCTCTGTGCAGCCTCAGAAGCAGTGGAGTAAATCCCCACAATCAACATGATAAACCCTGCATGTTTGGAATACAGGAATAGACAATGAATGTTCCCAAAATTGAGGCAGTGGACTTCGGAGCAACTGTAGACATGGGGTTTGCTTTCTGCGTCTGATTTGTTTTTGGGTTTAGGTTTATCTTAGTTTTTAGTGCTTGTTATCATTGGTGGGTTTGGTTACTCTCTTCCTTTTTATTTTAAAAAAATTTTTTTCCTCTTTTCTCTTTTTGTGAGTGTGTGTATATATGTTACTTTCTGTGATTATTGTCAGTTTAGGTTTGCTTTTACCATTTGTCCAAGGGTTCTGTCTGTTCGTTTTTGTTGTTGTTTGTTTTTGTTTGTTTTCTTTTTATCAGTGTGTGTGTGTGTTTCTTTTTGTGATTTTGTCTGTACAGTTTTGCTTTTACCATTTGATTTGGGGTTCTATCTGTTCATTTTTTTCTGTTGTTTTTTTTCCTTCCTTTTCTTCTGAGCCATGCGGCTGGCAGGGTCTTGGTGCTCTGGCCAGGTGTTAGGCCTGAGCCTCCGAAGTGGGAGAGCCAAGTCCAGGACACTGGACCACCAGAGACCTCCAGGCTCCACATAACATCAATCAGTAAGAGCTCTCAGAGATCTCCATCTCAACACTAAGACCCAGCTCCATACAACAGCCAGCAAGCTCCAGTGCTGGATGCCCCATGCCAAACAACTAGCAAGACAGGAACACAACCCCACTCATTAGCAGAGAGGCTGTCTAAAGTCATAATAAGTTCACAGACACCCCAAAAAACACCATTAGACACGGCCCTGCCCACCAGAAGGACAAGATCCAGCCTCACCCAGCAGAACACAGGCACCAGTCCCCTCCACCAGGGAGCCTACACAGCCACTGAACCAACCTCACCCACTGGGGGCAGACACCAAAAATAATGGGAACTACGAACCTGCAGCCTGTGAAAAGGAGACCACAAACATCACAAGTTAAACAAAATGAAAAGACAGAGAAATATGCAGCAGATGAAGGAGCAAGGTAAAACCCCACCAGACCAAAGAAATGAAGAGGAAATAGGCAGTCTACCTGATAAAGAATTCAGAGTAATGATAGTAAAGATGATCCAAAATCTCAGAAATAGAATGGAGAAAACAGAAGAAACATTCAATAAGGACCTAGAAGAACTAAAGAGCAAACAAACAACGATGAACAACACAATAAATGAAATTAAAAATACTCTAGAAGGAATCAATAACAGAATAACTGAGGCAGAAGAACAGATAAGTGACCTGGAAGATAGAATAGTGGAAATAACTGCCGCAGAGCAGAATAAAGAAAAAAGAATGAAAAGAACTCAGGAGAGTCTCAGAGAACTCTGGGACAACATTAAACACATCAACATTTGAATTATAGGGGTCCCAGAAGAAGAAGAGAAAAAGAAAGGGTCTGAGAAAATATTTGAAGAGATTATAGTTGAAAACTTCCATAACATGGGAAAGGAAATAGTCAATCAAGTCCAGGAAGCACAGAGTCCCATACAGGATAAATCAAAGGAAAAACATGCCAAGACACATATTAATCAAACTGTCAAAAATTAAATACAAAGAAAAAACATTAAAAGCAGCAAGGGAAAAGCAACAAAAAACATACAAGGGAATCCCCATAAGGTTAACAGCTGATCTTTCAGCAGAAACTCTGCAAGCCAGAAGGGAAAGACAAGACATGTTTAAAGTGATGATAAGGAAAAACCTACAACCAAGATTACTCTACCTAGCAAGGATCTCATTCAGATTTGATGAAGAAATTAAAAACTTTGCAGACAAGCAAAAGTTAAGAGAATTCAGCACCACCAAACCAGCTTTACAACAAATGCTAAAGGAATTTCTCTAGGCAGGAAACACAAGAGAAGGAA